CGCTGTCTCTCAGCAGCCGCGTCCCGTTCAGCATCATCCATGTCAGCCCACCTCTGCCGCTGCCTTTCAGCGTCCGCTTCTCTCTCGGCGTCATCCATGGCAGCTCGCCGCTGTCGCTGCCGTTCAGCGTCCGCCTCACGTTCCGCATCATCCATGGCGGCCCGCCGCTGTCGCTGCCGTTCGGCGTCCGCTTCTCTCTGTGCCTCATCGAAGGCCGCTCGTCGCTGTCTTTCCCGCTCGGCGTTACGGAGTGCCTCCGCCCAAGGCCGTATAAGAGAGGTAGAATCATCCCGCAATTTCCAATGGACCAGTCGCTAAGCATTAGCGTGACGTCACTGGTGGAGACCGCGCGGCGCCCGGCTCCAAGCCGTACGTCGGGTACATTTGGCACTTTATCGTTGTTATTACTGAACGTAACGACAACTAATGACTCTTAATAACTTTTTTACCCACCTAAAGCTGATTTCCTTGCCGATACATTGCCGACCCGAGCCCCAGGGTTGACAATCTTGGGATATGGGTCGGATGGGCGACCTCGCGACGGGAAAAGGAACGATTGCAATTGTTGTGTCCTGCACCGCCGATTGCATTCTCTATCTGTACCCGGAGGGGGGGGGGGCAGGGAGCACGTGCCCCCATCGGATCAGGGGGCCTCTCGGGCCCGAGGGGCCCTGCGACGCCAATTGGCGGCTGAGGGTCCACGCTGGCATTTTCGACTCGGAAGGGCCCCACAGGGCTCGAAAGAACACCTTATGTGCTCCGAATAGCCACACTTCTCTCCATACGAGCCACACACCGGCTTTTTATTGTTCCTTGTCGGCATTTGAGGGCCCCTTGCCGGCCTCTGAGGGCCCATTAACGACCTCTGAGGGCTACTTGCCGGCCTCTGAGGGCCCTTACCGGCCTATCAGGGACCAGCAGCTCTAAGGGTTCCACACACGCCTGTGATGACCCCCTAAACCAATGGTTGAAGGCCCCCACAACGGCGCCTGCGAGGGCCCTCAACGGTGGCTGTGAAAACCCCAAACCGGTGCCCAGCTGAGGGCCCCACACTGCCACCTCTGAGTTTAACCGGCACCCCTGAATGAAGTTCCAAAGGCCCAAACCAGTGCTTCTTAAGGCCATATATCGGCGGCTCTGAGGGCTCAACGCCGGAGCCTCTGACGGCCTAAGACGGGACCTTCGCATCGGACGGCCACTCACCGGTCACTTTTGAGGGCCCCACACCGACGACTCTGAGGGCCACCACCGGCGTCTGAGAGTACCTTGCTGGTCTCTGAGGACTCAACAGGGCTCCTGAAGACACCGCAGACCTCTTGAGGGCCCCTTGTCGGTCTCTGAGAGCCCCTGTCGGCTTATAAAGGGTTCGAGCCAGCAGCTCTAAGGGTCCCGCACCCGGCTGTGATGACCCCACACTGCAGTTGAGGGCCCACAATGGCAACTGTGAGGACCCTCACCAGCGCCTCTGAGGGACACACACTAGCACCTCAGAGGGCCCACAGCGGTACCTCTGGGGCCCCGCACCAATGCCTCCGAGGGCCTCACACCGGTACCTACCTGTCAGGGCCCACACCAGTGCCTCCAAAGGCTTCATAACCGGCGGCCCTGAGGGCACTACACCGGGGATTTTTGGGGCCTACCGAAGGCACAACACATTCCCTTAGTCTCGCTGAGTTTCTATCCCAATCCCATACCGGCTTCTATCCCAATTCCGGCGCTCAACTTATTAGCAGCCCCCCCCCCCCCATGGGTCAGCGGCAGGGCTGCGGAGTCGGAGTCGGAGTCGGAGTCGGAGTCGGTCGGAGTCGACAGTTGTGACCGGAGTCGGAGTCGGAGTCGGAGTCGATTTTAGAAACCCGAGCCGGAGTCGGAGTCGGAGTCATCGAAAATCTGTCGACTCCGCAGCCCATACTAGGTCTGCGGAGTCTGAGTCGGGAGTTGGAGTCGGTCGGAGTCGATAATTCTGCCCGGAGTCGGAGTCGGAGTCGGAGCTGGTTTTTGAAAGCCGGAGTCGGAGTCGGAGTCGGAGTCGCCGAAAATGTATCGACTCCGCAGCCCTGGTCAGCGGCGCCGCGCCAGTGCCGGTGCCAGGGGCCAGCGCCATCGGGGCGGCAGTCGGCCACGCGCACTCAATGGTTAGCGCTTAGCACCGGCGCCTAGCGCACGCCCGGCGTGTTATCGACCGTGAGTCGCTCCAAAACGGCTGCAGTAACTGGTCGAGATAGGCATTAAGCAGATGAGGAGATGCAGGTGGATTGATGACCGGCAAGCTTTTGTGCTTTACGAGGGCGAAGGGTCCCGTCGAAGTCGGCTGCTAAGCCGTGAGCGGATTTTATCAGATGCCGGTTCACTATGACCTTAATCCGGGTCCTGGTCCGCTGACGCACTCTTGGAGAGCCGAATCACAGCAAAACTCCATCCGCAACTGTATCTATACGGCTTACGCTTTTCTGAAAACGTCTGCGTTTGGCCTCCTACGGGCCCGGCCGGCCGGCCGGCCGGCCCCGATTGGCGATCCACCAGTGACGTCACTGGTAGTGTTAAGCTGATTGGCGAATAATACATGGGGAAAACCGGGACGACATCCCCCTGCCTCCGCCTCCCGCCTGGCCTGAGCAGCGATGCCATTCCTTGGGATTTGTCCCAAGATCTTGGGATTTGAACATTAACATTGGGATCTTGTGATTTGCACTGCATATCTTGGGATCTGGCAGAAGCTGATTTCACTTTGTCTTCTCATGCTGTCAAATGCTTTTTCCTTGGTCGATAATAAATTTAGGATGGATTTGCCTCACGGACGGTTAATAGCATTCAAACATATTGAAGTAACGGACGAAGCTTGCGATGTTTCTTGCAGGCATTCTTTTCCCGAGATCACAGGATTATTTTTGTACCATTACTTGTGGGTATAGTAGCAGCTTTCAGTCGCTGTTCGCAACTGGCGCTCATTTGTTTAATTTCCAACTCTACCGATCAACAGGGATGGGTGGTTTGGCGGCATGATGTTGGGTGGCTATGAAAAGCTTTTACAAACATTATGCCTAAACAATATTTCAGAAAGCTGCCCCCGCACAAAGCGCTTCATTTTACGGTTTTGCTCTATGGAGGCTTATCCGTTGACCGCGAACCACAATAAGGGCAATTTGTCTTTGACCTCGGAAGAGTGTCTGGTCACCTGACCCCTGGGCTCTGCTGGACCAAAAATAATCAAAGCGTAGCCTTGCGACCTTCACAACACTGCTGACGTCTTGTAGCTATATAGTCCAGGGGACGAGTTAGGTCCTCGTTTAGACCCCCTCGCCATCGTCAGCTTGAAAATCTATGGGCCCCAGCGGGCACTGGCTTACACGCAGATTCACAGCATAGGCTTTTCGATTTCGGGATTCACGTAAGCTTTTAAGAGCTTACTTTGGAGCCCATATTTCAAAACTGTCAGTGGTGAAAAACACTTTAAAACAGCCTGACCTCACCTGACCCTAGCTTCTCCAAATGTGTCACGAGACAAATTTCGAAATAAATCCAAAATGCCACAGACTTCGTTTCCAAGAAGTTCTAACAGATTCGGACCTTGTGTTTTGGGTCCCTGACCCACCATTGACGGTCGACGAATGACCTAACCATAGAATCAGATACCACCGGCTTCATGTTGTCTAGGCCAGCATCTTCATTTTTCGTGAAGCTCTTATACTCGGTCAGGAACATCAGCTGTAGGAGTCCGATCGACCCCCTCCCCCTCCCCCGGCCTCTAGGTACATTAGCTGCTGTAAAGACGCCAATAAGGACAAGGGTGGACCCGAGGAAGAGAAAGCTGTATACTAAACACACTAATATGTCCAAAATAAGCTATGGATTTACTTATGGTACTCCTAAGGATATGCGATGGGTAGTCTTGGGATTCGAGACGAGAATCTTGGGAAATTCTGGTCTAGATCTTGGGATGGAGCAAAAATGTGGATGGCATCACTGGGCCTGAGCCATCCGTTCACGCCGCCGGCGTTGAGCGGCAGCATTCGCCGCCCGTGCAGCACTGCCCCGATCATGACGCGGCATGGCTGTCTAAGTTAGCTGGGTAAAAGTGCAGACAGTAGATGATGCTTTTGGACAACTTATGAGTAATCAAGCTCACGGCAGGTAAAGTACCTACCCGAATGACTCGAATTACTCAAACAAATAACTCCGCGCAAAGTTTCAATGATCAGTCGTCGAGCAAGAAAATTCACATCAGGGCTTACTGAGACGATTAACAATCAATTGAGCGCAGATAATACGCACAAATAGGTGCAAAATTTCACTCAAACGATCGCCTCTCGAATAGTCAACCCAACAGCGAAACCTATTACTCGAGCTTGTGATCCATTTACTGCTGCTCTTGCTGAAATTGTTTACCACTATTGTTGCGTGTCCCGTTGCTATGCGACAAATCAAGGTCGTGGCTAAAAAGGGAACGTAAATTTTGATCAAGTTTTGATAAATACATCTCTCAAGCTATGCAAATAAAATATTAGCTTGAAGTGTACTTAATTATCTAAAATGCTATATAAGAAATCATACGAATTAGATACGTAGAAACACTTTTGCTCTCTCTTAAAATTCCAGTCATATCCTAACCAAGATCTGAGTTACAACGGTATTGGAGCGTCGGCCACATAGTTCCGCTCTGGCGCAATCGGTAGAGCAGCTGCATTCCAGCATGATGGTCCCGGGTTCGATTCCCGGACGGGCGGCGGCACTTTTCTATTTCGACGCAATCAATTAAAATTCCGTCGGAAAACGGCTTGACGCAAGCAAAACACGGTCGTATGCTTCAGTCATTTTCATGAAAGTTTATAGACTTTTCGATAATATTTTGGGTGGATATTGGTCAGAAAAGAATGCTCTTTCCGAATGTGTAGGTTTCATAGCGATTGATCAGCGTTTTCAATACGTTTCGATGTTGTAAAGGACATCGCGCTCCGCGCGAATCAAATTTTCAAATAAATCTTTCATTATTAAAGAAATGGTAGGGATCATCAATTTTTATTTGATTTCCTATCATAACACGTACATTTGTTTGTAAAATGATACAACACCGATTTCATTCGGTCAAACCGTTTTCCAGCGGCATCGATTTTCCCGTCACAATGCACGAAATCGGTCATTTTTTCACAACCGGATATTTTACCTTGCACGTGTCGCGTGCTATGCTATAAATTCATATCAATACGCTAGTTCCATCTCTCCTCTATCCATTGGTGGCAACCGCTTTTCGCTGCGTCCACCCATTGCCGAGATATCAAGCCGGAAAGCGAGTCGTGTCGGCCCGATTTTCGGCCGACCGCCGCTCTAGCCGACACCATGCTATCCCTATGAGAGCGCCCTTTTGCACGTGCCGACGGCGCACCCCTGGTCCGATCACGCCCAAATTTTAATACAAAGGCCGCCCACGCCCACAGATTCGGCATGCCAAATTTCACGTCGATACGCGGCGCCGTTCCGGCGCATTAAGACACATAAGTCATGACACACGGATGGATGGAGATCGTACAGACAACTTATAATTCATAATATAGATCGTTTGTACAAAATGTCGTATTTCATACAATCAACACATCATGGTTATTTACATTGTCGGCCTCCACTACAATGCGCAGCACCTTCCTCCCCTCCAACACAAAATACCTTCCTGCCGACCCATTCTCGGCAGTGGCTAGGATCTAGCTCTGGGGCTTATGTCTCCATTATTGGTTGACAACGGCCACCGTCTAAGAAAATGCGCGCCAAAAAAGCCGTGCTTCTTCCATCGATAGTGTGAGAGCTGCGGTTATCTCACCACCATTAATTAGTGTTGGATGGGCGATTCGAGAACACCAGTCTTCATGATGACATGAACGAGAGGGTTTACACTCATGGATGTCACAATCAAACAAAAGCATTTTATTTGTCGCCTCGTACAAAAAGTCATCGTTCTTCACTTTCACTCGGCAAACTTCAAACCATCTTCCTTCCTATTGCCCTCCCGGAGCTCAACATTCTCTCACCCCCTCGACATTCCACTTCAAAAACTCTTGCTCGCTCCCAACCCCCTTCCTTCGTCCTCGCCTACACATAAATCTTCTCCTCCTTCCGCTTTTTGTTCATCACCGTTCCGGGCTTATGCTGTGCGTCAGGGTGGTTGGCCAAGTCTGCCGGGCATTGGCTGATGGGTGATGACACTAGCAGCTGCTTGAGGTCGTAGAACACGGCTGAGTCTTCCTGTGTTATGAACGTCACCGCCACACCGTTCTTACCGGCACGACCTGGTTGAAACGGAGAGGAGAGAGGAAGTCAGATTCAGAACCGATAGGCACGTCTCGACAGTATCTTGCAATGAGATTGACCTACCATCAGGACCTGTTATAACAATAAACGCTTATCGGATGAACACACGTTTACCCGTCGTGCTTTTATTAGGTATGATTTTCGATCGGGTTTAGTTTCAACTGTAAATATCATCCTTCACTTTTGGCAAGATATTTCAAACTGTCTAGCAATGGTTTCATATGTTGCCATTTGGTTTCCGATTGGTTTCCATTTGGTTCCATGCTGAACACAGTAATGCAACACCAAACAGATAACAGCAGCAAACACTGCCCTTACCGAGGCCAGCTTCTTCTGCATTCCCGCGGGTCCCCCTCCCCTCCCCACCGTTCCTGCACCCCCTCCCCCCCCACCGACCTGTACGACCGATCCTGTGCGTGTAAGCCTCGATGGTCTTGGTCATGTCGTAGTTGATAACCATGCTGACGTCCTTGATGTCGATACCTCGGCCGGCAACGTCAGTGGCCACCAGGATGTCCTTGCTACCCGCCTGTGGAAGGAAACGAAAGGGTTTAAAGGGAGGAAAGGCGGTAGGGGTTGGTTAGGGTGGCAAGGGTAACAAGCGAGGTAGTAAAAGGACACATCTCGTGCGTTATAGGCGATGAGTCGGGGATGTAATGGGCGGCAATAAAAAACGAGCAACTGGTAACAAAATACAAAAAAAGTAACAAGCAACTGGTATATAAGTCTGAGTGCATTTTGAACAGTGAATTACCTCATTTATATCCTACCAGGCAGACACAGCTGTCATCCAAGCGTAATTATCATGGCCAGAACGAAAACATTTATCACAAACTACAATTAAACTCTCCAGAATCAACACAGTCATCTTTCACTTCAGCCCAACTCACAACGCCCCATAATATGTGGCAAAACCAGCCACAACAACCCTACCGCTCCCCGACCCGCCGCGCCGCCCTTACCTTGAGACTGCCCAGCGCAAACTCTCGCTGCTCCTGTCCTTTTCCTCCGTGGAGTGTGGCGGCGTTGTAGCCCAGCTTCTCCAGACCGCGGGCCAGCACGTCAGCTCCCTTCTTCTGATTGACGAAGATGATGACTGGGGGCTCCACGCCCTGAAAGAGAGAAGGGGTGGGGGTGAGATTGTGGTACAGACTACAGAAGGGTAGGCGGGTCGCGTTACAATATATATTTCTGTGTGGAACGTTACGAAAAACGTGGTCGCACGAGAAAAAAAAAACATTGTGGCACTTAGCAAAAGCTAGGAGAAAAAAAAGTGAATAAATTTGAGCTGTCCATTTAACTGACAAGTGAGTGGGTGAGTGGCCTATGGGCGTCCACTTGCCCGCTTGCCATCAGGCTCCCACGCCCCGGGGCCATAAAACAAAATATATCCGCAACTGGAAATACTACATCCAACTTTCTGAAGGACAAAGTACTCCTTGATTCCAAAGCTCCTTTTCGAAATCCTCAACTTGAGCACAACACTACATCGTAGACCCAGTCCTGACCCCCACCGTCCCCGTCCTCCGTCCTGACCTTCTGCAGCAGGGCCATCAGCTTGGTCCTCTTCTGCGCCTCGGTGACCAGGTAGACGATTTGTTCGACCCGCTCGGCCGGCTTGCTGCCGCCGCCGATGTAGACCACCGCCGGCCGGCGCAGGTAGTTTCTGAGGGTAGCAGAGGGTATAGATAGTTGGTGGAGGGCGAACGCTAACGGGTGATGTGGTTGCGCGCATAATTCTATAACAATGACAGTGATCATCTTTGGGTCTTTGATAACGGTTAGACCGAAGTGGTCATCGGCACCCTCAAATGCCCGCACAAAGTATTGTTGAGTAGACACGCATAAATTCGTCATATTTGTCCAGCTATTCTCCTCATTCATCAGCATCTTCTGTTCTTCAACATTCCCGTTCAAAATCTCCCCCTTTCATTTTGATTCAATTCCTAAGAAATATCATCTCACTCACAGTCCTACCGCTGTTTTCCAACATACTGTGCCATAGCTTACTCTATCTTGCTCTTCCAACAAACACTCTCACCTACTCTTCAACCTTCTCAGCTCCCCTATCCTCACCACCGTCTCACCTGGCCAATCGCTCCACCGACGGCGGCATCGTAGCCGTGAACATCACAGTCTGACGGTAGCGGTGCTTCGACTTGAAGTTCTCCAGCAGATGATCCTCATCCTCTGCCTGATCCGTGTCAGGCTTGGCGTTCGATACGGGCATGTGCTCGAGGATTTTCTGGACCTGAGGGACGAAAATTACATGTTCAATTAATGTACTCGAACATTAATCTGGATATAGTGTCTTGCGCGCCATTGCTCTAAAAAGCATCCACTTTAAACACAGCTCATTCGTTTCAAATGTTAGCACATATTTGAAGGGCACATTGTAACCTAAAGGACACGTCAAAATCTGGTTTGAACAGCTGCAGCTAATGATGAAGAGGCTGACATAAGGCCTCCTCAGTATAATACCAGTAAAACGCCTTTTGGGCGAAGAACGAGCGAGCGAGATAGTGAGCCCTGCACGTGCGGAAGGGCGAGAGGGTACTTCCAATGGGCTTGCGCAAAGCACTGTTCTAACCGGTCGCTAGCGGTGTACCAAATTTGAACGCAATCGGCCCAGCCGTTCCTGAGATCTGGAAGCGGCATTCTGCACGTGCGCACGTGCAAACGGGGTCCAAAATGACTTTTGCACGGCACCCTACTAACCGGTCCCCAACCGTGTACCAAATTTGAGCGCAATCGGCCCAGCCGTTCTCGAGATCTGGAAACGCCCCCTGCACGTGCGCACGTGCAGCAGCACCCTAAACGCAGCATGGGAATGCATTGCCTGGTGGGTGCCTACCTGTATGCCAAGTTTCAGCGAAATCGCCCCAGTAATTACCGAGTTACTGAAATGGGAACACATTTGACACCTCTTATTGTTGTATTTTGCACGTGCACTGGGGGTGACCCACATGCATCGAGAGTATCCGACCTTTGGTAGAAGGGATGCTGCTACCCTACAAAAATTACCGCAAGCCAATCGCCCAAGCGGCTGCTGAGATATGAGCCTCTCAAAATCACTACTTTTGCAAAACAGCTTGAACACCCTTGACTTTTCACGTGGCACGTGCCACGACGGTCACTGAGATGTATCAAAAGTAGTCAATTACGGGGTAGAAGGGATGAGGCTACCCAACAAAAAAGACCGCAGGCCAATCGGTCCAGCGGTTACTGAGATATAAGCCTCTCAAAAGCGTTACAGGCCGGGCCGGGCCGGGCCGGGCCGGGCCGGGCCGGGCCGGGCCGGGCCGCTCATACTGAGATTTTTCCGTTATATTGAAAAGACTCACTTCGCTCGCTGCGCTCGCTCGCTTGTAATTAAAGGTAGTGTGCCAGCTTTCCTGGACCGTATGGAGTTAATGGCCCAGATAAGGAGAACCGGATTTTTAGAACTTATCCATACCTTCAAAACTCATGGAAACGTCTTAAATTCTTCCAATTTTGAGTACCCCAGTGCGAAATTCGCCCCGACGGGTTGTCGGTCGTACCCCAACCACATTTCACACCACTATGAACAATAAATGCACACACTGAAATCGCTATTACCGATATGCTCATCCAATCAAGTTTCGATAAACCCGTTCATCATCAGCTCCTGCGGTTTCGAACACGCCTGTTAGGTGGTGCGGTAGACCGCGCCCAAAGCCAGGGCCCCGGTAACGTGAGGTAGCCGAGTCAGGGCAGCGTGCGCTGACCCAAGCCGGAGCCGCGCGTCCTCCCGGTGTCATGTGATAGCCCGGGGCTGCCCGCGGGGATGCGGTAGACCGCGCCCAAAGCTGCGGCCCCGGCTTGGGTCAGCGCACGCTGCCCCGACTCGGCTACCTCACGTTACCGGGGCCCTGGCTTTGGGCGCGGCTTCTGCTCATACTTTGTGGTGCGGTGGTGGTGCGTCGGGCTGCGCGCTCTGACTTCGGCCAAGAAAAATGCGTCAGCTGATCATTGTCATTTCTGCCACTTGCGTGTGGTGAAATGGGGTCATAACTTATGAGACGGCTTTTTCATATCAATTATTTTACATAAAATCATATTTCAAACCATAAATAATGTTCGACAGCCAAATAAAAGAAACAATACCAATACAGGCTTACAGTTTAAGGCTCGACATTGTGTTGTCTACGATTAGACAGCTGATAACTCATTCCCGTACGTCGTAACACTATAATGACCTTTGCTTATTGTCACATGTGCGCCGCATTCGCGGTTGTTGGCGACGCCTGTTTGCCCTGAGACACCTCTTAGAACACCCGGCTCACGAAGATGTCCCCATCGTCATATGCACAGACTCCCAAGCTGCCCTGGCGGCCCTCAGAAGCGGCCCTTCTGAGCAACGGACCCAGCTCAACAGCGAAGTCTGGGATGCCCTCACCCTCCTGACAAGAGAGGGTGCTCGTCGGCTCCACCTTCAATGGGTCCCTTCCCACTGCGGTTTAGAAGGGAACGAGCGGGCCGACGTCCTGGCCAAGGAGGCGTCGGCGCTCCCGCAGGAAGAGGTCCCTCTCGATGTGAGGACCGTGTTGAGGGCGTCCGCCAGAGCAGCGAGGGCAAAAATCGGCAGACAACGCCCCAGCGGGTGGTACCGGGATCTGTGGGGCGAACGCCTGCCTCCACCTGCGGCTGATCTGGACCGCCACGCGGCTGTAGAGGTGTACCAGCTGCGGGCGGGCCACTGGTCGGGCTCCGCCCAGTATATGCACAGGATCGGCCGTAACCCAACGGTGGAGTGCCCTGGCTGTAATGACCATGGATGCCGGGCGGGACGGTGTCCGGTGTGTCGGGAGGAGGCGGACACGCCCGGACATGTTCTGCTGCGATGCCCTGCCCTGATGAACCTGAGGTTCCGCCTGCTGGGCACCATTCACCCGTCACACGAGGAGATTCGGAGCGCGGACGTCGTCGCGGCCCTGGCGGCCGCGACCAGACGACTTCAAAGCCGAGAGGCTTCGCGGCAGTGATCCTGCCGCCGAGGGGAATCAACAACAACAACAACAACGCCTGTTTGCAGGTGAGCCCACTACAGTTGTTATACATATCGAAAAACCGATAAACTTTTAGGCGAAAAAGGCACTATTCCAGGCCCATTTTTTGATTTTTTTTTGCGATATTAGGTAAAAACAGCAGCTTCTTATCCTAGGAAAAATAAAATGGGAAATCTTTCAAAGGTGGCACACTACCTTTAAGTATATCAGTATCAGTATATTCAGCATATTTTCTCCACACATATAGAAGTGTAAAACTGAATATTAAAAAGCTAGCGCATTCTGAGCTACACTTGATAGTTGATCGTCACCCCTAACCACACACTCCACTCTATCTAAAAACCCCGCCTCCCAGTCCAACTTTCTCAAAAATCTCACAATCCTTCCGAACCGAATCCTAGCTTCCGAACCTGTACCACAACAAACCGTCACCTCTACCCGTACCCCAAAACCCGCACAAACCTCTGGCTCGAAGCCCATGTCAATCATCCGATCAGCCTCGTCGAGTACGATATAGACGCATCGCGACAGCACGAGGTAGCGGTTCTCGAGTACGTCAATCAGTCGACCGGGCGTGGCGATGACGATCTCACAGCCCAGCCGCAGCTTGAAACCCTGGTCTTCCCTGCTGAGACCGCCTGAGGGAGAGGGAAAGAGGGAGGGGGAGGGGGAAAGTTAGATAGGGAAACATATATCAATGGACGGCGAGGAGTGTCACTGCTGTATTATGGCTTGGCTGTGCGAATCAGGAGACACTTCAGATACATAATAAGGACCCAGGTCAGAGCCTGATGATTAGGCGGTAATAGCCAAACGTCCTAACTGAACTCAACAATGCACATATTCATAAATGACCAAAGAAGCTGATGAAAGGCAGCTGAGGGCCTTATGGCTACAGCTAGTCCTCAAATTCAGCAATATTCAAAATATGAGATAAGCCAAATACTGCTTTTCTCATCTTCCTTCATCTAATCGTAGCGCATAACAACCCGTCACTTTCCCAATCGTCCCGCCATTCCCGCTCTTTTCTCCTTCTTCACTCACCTATGACGGCCACCGTCCGTATTCCCAGTGGCGACCCAAACTTGTTGGACTCCTCCTCGATCTGTTGGGCCAACTCGCGGGTTGGCGCCATAATGATGGCGTACGGACCCTGCGGCGAGAGAGACACGCGTTATCAATGGCTTGAGGCTGAAGGACGAAAATGAGCTTCAGCGGCTTCAGATGTACACGTAAATGTTGGAGGGAGCATGATGAGGGCTGCGTTACATAGGCGTCAGCTTGGGGACAGGGTCAATACGCGAAAAGAAACGCTGTGAGAGAAGGAAAAGAAACAAGCTTAAGAAACAAACAATGCGTATTGCATACACTTATTTAAACGTCAGCGAACACAGAAGGTTCGCATTACAAGAGCCGCGGAGCAAAGTACTAACGACAGCTGAGCACAAGCCATGAAACTCATGGCAAGTCAAACTTCACTTAATATCGAAACCAGGGCTGCGGAGTCGATGGATTTTCGGCGACTCCGACTCCGACTCCGGCTTTCAAAAACCAGCTCCGACTCCGACTCCGACTCCGGGCAGAATTGTCGACTCCGACCGACTCCAACTCCCGACTCCGACTCCGCAGACCTAGCAGGGCTGCGGAGTCGACAGATTTTCGGTGACTCCGACTCCGACTCCGGCTCGGGTTTCTAAAATCGACTCCGACTCCGACTCCGGTCATAACTGTCGACTCCGACCGACTCCGACTCCGACTCCGACTCCGACTCCGCAGCCCTGATCGAAACGTCACTCCCGTTACGCACCGTCCGTGACTCCGACCCAAGCTCTCCTCGACTCCCGAGTCCGATCCCTCAGTGCTCACCTGATCCTGATCCTCGATGAGTGTCATCTTGGGCAGGCTCCTGATCCAGACCAGTAGTGGGATGAGGAAGGCCAGAGTTTTACCGGAGCCGGTCTCAGCCACACCTGTGAAATACACGCGGCGCATGGGTTAGACTTAACAGACGGCGTGGGTTTACACAGACAATGGGGACGCGTCGATACACCAAATAGTGACGATACAGCGCAATAAAATTACACGAATATTGCACTTACGTGGAAAGAATAGCAGAAATTCCACATCTCACAAACAAGAATAAAAAGATGCATCTAAAAATGTCAAGTAAAATGACGAACGACAAGAATGTGGCGATAGCGACGAAAAAAAAATATTACCGTCCTTTGTCATAATGATTGCAAAAATCAGGACACCTAAAATTATATTAAACTGAATCAGTGCAACCCAAAATCACATTGAATTACACACTACAACTTACTACATATCTAATCAGCACTGCAATTCACAACAGAAACATCTCCACCTATCAGCCAACTCACCGATGATATCCCTGTTCTGGAGTCCGATGGGGATGGCCTGGCGCTGGATGGGAGTCGGCTCCCGATACCCGACCTTGTCGATAATCTCCAGAATGTCACGGCTGATGCCGCTCTCCTTCCACTTTCTGATCGGGTTCGGCACTTTGCCGCCCTGTGGGCGGGAGGGAATGACAGGAAATGTTAGGGGAATGAGGTAACACAGAGAGACAATCGGCAAGCACATTGAGGCAATAAGACAACGTAGCGAGATAATCATGACATGAGACAGCTCAGTGACTTTATTTGACGAAGATGTAGCTCGTAAAATCACTAAATTATGATGTTGTCATTTATGAAATCGAATAAAAGAGATGAAACGCCATGTTACTTGTGATATGTGGTGAATATACCCGTTATGTTAGGTTATACCGAGAGCGAACGGAAGAAAACTTGAAAACATCGTAAAAACCAGTATCACAATTAGAGTGGTGCATGCGACGCTCCAATGTCTCACTAATGTCTCATCAATGTATCACCAATGTATCGCCAATGTATCACCAATGTCTCACCAATGACCAATGTATCACCAATGTATCACCAATCTCTCTACAATATCTCTCACCTTGATGCTAATGTTGTAGTCCTCTCTGAAGATGCGCCAGTCCCTCTCGGTCATTTTCTCCAGCTCTTTGTCTGACCAGTGACGGTCATCCCAGCGCTGCTTCTCCTCCCGGCGCTTCAGCTTCTTCAATCTGGGGACGAACACGGGCGGGGGTCGGTGGAAATAGCATCGTACACTCTCATAATTTGTCACACCTCCTGCTCCTTTTCTCACTACCTATTTCACACCTTTCCCAAGCACCTATCCGTCATTTCTATCCTTTCTTTGTCCCGTCATTTCCCCGTCTACTTATTTCACGAAGTCTTTCTTCCTACAGTAAACATATTCAGTGGACACCTTCCCAGTCTCTTATCCTTATCAGTCTACCTTTATAATCCCTTCCTGTCCCATCCCTCACGCTTTCTCCCTCCCTCCCCCCCCCCCCCCCCTCTCTCTCTCTCTCTCTCTCTCTCTCTCTCTCTTCCCCCTCTCTCTCATCTCTCTTCCCCTCTCTCTCATCCCTCCCCCACTTCCTCTTTCTTTCACCTCTCCTCCTCCTGGTCCTTCTCTGCCATGGTTCGTCGCGTCTCCATCAGCTCCCCATAGAACTGGCTGTTCTCCTTCTTCTGTGTTTTGATGTCGATACCGGCAATGTGGCCACGACCGAACAGCTGGATCTGATGACAGGCGAGAAAGAAAGATTATTAATTCGGCCTCAAAGACATAAATAAGGTATTGGTGCCTGGTTGGCTCGGACCTTATTGTGAAATAACACGATCTGAGAACATTTTAGAGACATGGAGAGTCTAACAAACCGCATATCGGTGAAGGAAAACACGCAATAGTTTCAACTCTTCTAAGAAAGGTATTTGAATGTTACCTCCAATGAATATCAAGCCAAACACGCAGTGAAAGAATATAAGGATATGAGTTACCATGTTTACCAAAAGAAAGCAATGTTTTTTGGTAAGCAATGTAATCTTTTTTTTCCTCAATATTTCGAAACATAATCGAACTAAAGAACGCATGTATGTTGCAGTTGTAGTGGCTTGCCCGTCTATTCCACCTTCCACTGAACATTGGAAACCACTTCCACTAACCTGATGTTTCTCCTTGTACAGCGCGTTGTAATCCGTCGACGTATCCTCTCCGGCATCCCAGTCAAAGACGAACTTTCTGTCGTTGAGGCGCCGCACACGCCGCTTGCGTTTGACGATACCAAGATAACGCTCTCGAATGGCTTCCTCCTCCCGTTGTTTGTCTTTGCTGACCTCACCGCCCTGGGGATGGGTAGGGGAAGGTCAGGTCATAAGTCATGGCTGCTTTATCGAGCCAACCTAGGGGGAATGCAGGAATACGAGGCATGAGTCCGGGCAAGAATGACAAGTAAGAAGTAAGCATAAAGTTGACATTTAACTTCGAAATATCGTACATGTTCAACTCATCTATCTCCCTCCTCCTCCTCTCTCATACCACTCTGTCCGCTACATTTATCCCCATCTCTTTCTCTAACTTTCCTCTCCTCTCTCTCTTTCTCCCTCTCCCTCTCCCTCTCCCTCTCTCTCTCCCTCTCTCTCTCTCTCGCTCTCTCTCTCTCTCTCCCTCTCTCCCTTCCTCCCTCCCTCCCTCCCTCCCTCCCTCCCTCCCTCTCTCTCTCTCTCTCTCTCCCTCTCACCCCGCTCTGTCCCGCACGCCGGTCTCTGTCCCCACGATCGGGTCTCGGCGGCCGGCGGTACACATCCTGTCGCTCCTGACGTCGCTGCTGATCCATACTCCGCTGACCCTCGGCAGCAAACTCCTGACGCTTCTGACGCTCCTCCTCCTGCTGGCGGCGCTGCTCCGCCACCTATCGGCCGAGGAGGGAACTAGATATAGAGGGTAGCACAGCAGATAAAGATGGAGGATCGTGGTCCACATTTGAAAACCGCGGACACGCTGTGGATAAGACATACATATTAAGCAACGATTTCTCCATTCCATGGAATTAGTACTACACATACGTCCCTGAAAGAAATTAACAGTAGGAAGAAGTCTTAGGAAAGGTTTAAGAGCATCATCTCTAGAGAAAAGACATGATAAGTGTCAACGATGAAAAAAGAACACCCAAAAGCTACCACTCACCGCCTCTTGTCGCTTCCTCAATGCCTCTGCTACTCTTTCCTCCTTTGTGAGAAACTTGGGCTTGCTCTTGGCCTCCTCCTCCGCCTTCTTCTTTGCCAGAAGTTCCTCCAGTGACAGTGGCTCTTTCTTCACTTCAGGCTGTTCTTTTTCTTCCTCCTCTTCATTTTTAGCTCTAAAATGGGGGAGGATGGAACTCAGCATTACAGATTGACAAGCTTGAAAATGCTGTTATTACATAATTTCCATGAATGCATTATAGCAGGTTTATAAGCAAACATCTACTAGTATTGATAACAAAATTATTAGCGATTATCAGTACGGTATCGATTATTCTCTGCCTTCCGTCGTTGAGTTTCACATAGCGACCAGAAACAATTGCAATACAGACAATGTGACATGTCCGTAAAGTTAGCGTCAGCAACAGCAACGAATACAGCGTCGGATTCAGAATCGCTTCAAAAACTGCCATCAGGTCAATTGGGGGACGGGGAACACGAATATGACATTTATTTTGCCCTAGCTCCCTTCCTTCATCCCTTAATCGTCCCTTAAAGGACGGGGCGCGTCAAAAAAGCCCCAAGGTTTCGTCTGATCGCCAAAATAATGGTCGCAATCGATTCCTCGGGTCAATATCTAACCTCAGTCGAAGGTCCCAGACCTGTGGCTCCTATCCCTCATCCCTTAATCGTCCCTTAAAGGACGGGGCGCGTCAAAGTGCCCCAAGGCTTCTTCTGATCGCCAAAATAATGGTCGCAATCGATTCCTCGGGTCAATATCTAACCTCAGTCGAAGGTTCCAGACCTGTGGCTCCTATCCCTCATCCCTTAATCGTCCCTTAAAGGACGGGGCGGTTCAAAAGTGCCCCAAGGCTTCTTCTGATCGCCAAAATAATGGTCGCAATCGATTCCTCGGGTCAATATCTAACCTCAGTCGAAGGTTCCAGACCTGTGGCTCCTATCCCTCATCCCTTAATCGTCCCTTAAAGGACGGGGCGCGTCAAAAGTGCCCCAAGGCTTCGTCTGATCGCCAAAATAATGGTCGCAATCGATTCCTCGGGTCAATATCTAACCTCAGTCGAAGGTTCCAGACCTGTGGCTCCTATCCCTCATCCCTTAATCGTCCCTTAAAGGACGGGGCGCGTCAAAAGTGCCCCAAGGCTTCGTTTGATCGCCAAAATAATGGTCGCAATCGATTCCTCGGGTCAATATCTAACCTCAGTCGAAGGTTCCAGACCTGTGGCTCCTATCCCTCATCCCTTAATCGTCCCTTAAAGGACGGGGCGCGTCAAAAGTGCCCCAAGGCTTCTTCTGATCGCCAAAATAATGGTCGCAATCGGTTCCTCGGGTCAATATCTAACCTCAGTCGAAGGTTCCAGACCTGTGGCTCCTATCCCTCATCCCTTAATCGTCCCTTAAAGGACGGGGCGCGTCAAAAGTGCCCCAAGGTTTCTTCTGATCGCCAAAATAATGGTCGCAATCGATTCCTCGGGTCAATATCTAACCTCAGTCGAAGGTTCCAGACCTGTGGCTCCTATCCCTCATCCCTTAATCGTCCCTTACAGGACGGGGCGCGTCAAAAGTGCCCCAAGGTTTCGTCTGATCGCCAAAATAATGGTCGCAATCGATTCCTCGGGTCAATATCTAACCTCAGTCGAAGGTTCCACAACTGTGGCTCCTATCCCTCATCCCTTAATCGTCCCTTAAAGGACGGGGCGCGTCAAAAGTGCCCCAAGGCTTCTTCTGATCGCCAAAATAATGGTCGCAATCGGTTCCTCGGGTCAATATCTAACCTCAGTCGAAGGTTCCAGACCTGTGGCTCCTATCCCTCATCCCTTAATCGTCCCTTAAAGGACGGGGCGCGTCAAAAGTGCCCCAAGGGTTCTTCTGATCGCCAAAATAATGGTCGCAATCGATTCCTCGGGTCAATATCTAACCTCAGTCGAAGGTTCCAGACCTGTGGCTCCTATCCCTCATCCCTTAATCGTCCCTTACAGGACGGGGCGCGTCAAAAGTGCCCCAAGGTTTCGTCTGATCGCCAAAATAATGGTCGCAATCGATTCCTCGGGTCAATATCTAACCTCAGTCGAAGGTTCCACACCTGTGGCTCCTATCCCTCATCCCTTAATCGTCCCTTAAAGGACGGGGCGCGTCAAAAGTGCCCCAAGGCTTCTTCTGATCGCCAAAATAATGGTCGCAATCGGTTCCTCGGGTCAATATCTAACCTCAGTCGAAGGTTCCAGACCTGTGGCTCCTATCCCTCATCCCTTAATCGTCCCTTAAAGGACGGGGCGCGTCAAAAGTGCCCCAAGGCTTCTTCTGATCGCCAAAATAATGGTCGCAATCGATTCCTCGGGTCAATATCTAACCTCAGTCGAAGGTTCCAGACCTGTGGCTCCTATCCCTCATCCCTTAATCGTCCCTTACAGGACGGGGCGCGTCAAAAGTGCCCCAAGGTTTCGTCTGATCGCCAAAATAATGGTCGCAATCGATTCCTCGGGTCAATATCTAACCTCAGTCGAAGGTTCCAGACCTGTGGCTCCTATCCCTCATCCCTTAATCGTCCCTTAAAGGACGGGGCGCGTCAAAAGTGCCCTAAGGCTTCTTCTGATCGCCAAAATAATGGTCGCAATCGATTCCTCGGGTCAATATTTAACCTCAGTCGAAGGTTCCAGACCTGTGGCTTCTATCCCTCATCCCTTAATCGTCCCTTAAAGGACGGGGCGCGTCAAAAGTGCCCCAAGGCTTCTTCTGATCGCCAAAATAATGGTCGCAATCGATTCCTCCGGTCAATATCTAACCTCAGTCGAAGGTTCCAGACCTGTGGCTCCTATCCCTCATCCCTTAATCGTCCCTTAAAGGACGGGGCGGTTCAAAAGTGCCCCAAGGCTTCTTCTGATCGCCAAAATAATGGTCGCAATCGATTCCTCGGGTCAATATCTAACCTCAGTCGAAGGTTCCAGACCTGTGGCTCCTATCCCTCATCCCTTAATCGTCCCTTAAAGGACGGGGCGCGTCAAAAGTGCCCCAAGGCTTCGTCTGATCGCCAAAATAATGGTCGCAATCGATTCCTCGGGTCAATATCTAACCTCAGTCGAAGGTTCCAGACCTGTGGCTCCTATCCCTCATCCCTTAATCGTCCCTTAAAGGACGGGGCGCGTCAAAAGTGCCCCAAGGCTTCGTCTGATCGCCAAAATAATGGTCGCAATCGATTCCTCGGGTCAATATCTAACCTCAGTCGAAGGTTCCAGACCTGTGGCTCCTATCCCTCATCCCTTAATCGTCCCTTAAAGGACGGGGCGCGTCAAAAGTGCCCCAAGGCTTCTTCTGATCGCCAAAATAATGGTCGCAATCGGTTCCTCGGGTCAATATCTAACCTCAGTCGAAGGTTCCAGACCTGTGGCTCCTATCCCTCATCCCTTAGTCGTCCCTTAAAGGACGGGGCGCGTCAAAAGTGCCCCAAGGCTTCTTCTGATCGCCAAAATAATGGTCGCAATCGATTCCTCGGGTCAATATCTAACCTCAGTCGAAGGTTCCAGACCTGTGGCTCCTATCCCTCATCCCTTAATCGTCCCTTACAGGACGGGGCGCGTCAAAAGTGCCCCAAGGTTTCGTCTGATCGCCAAATAATGGTCGCAATCGATTCCTCGGGTCAATATCTAACCTCAGTCGAAGGTTCCACACCTGTGGCTCCTATCCCTCATCCCTTAATCGTCCCTTAAAGGACGGGGCGCGTCAAAAGTGCCCCAAGGCTTCTTCTGATCGCCAAAATAATGGTCGCAATCGGTTCCTCGGGTCAATATCTAACCTCAGTCGAAGGTTCCAGACCTGTGGCTCCTATCCCCTATCCCTTAATCGTCCCTTAAAGGACGGGGCGCGTCAAAAGGCCCCAAGGCTTCTTTGATCGCCAAATAATGGTCGCAATCGATTCCTCGGGTCAATATCTAACCTCAGTCGAAGGTTCCAGACCTGTGGCTCCTATCCCTCATCCCTTAATCGTCCCTTAAAGGACGGGGCGCGTCAAAAAGTGCCCAAGGCTTCGTCTGATCGCCAAAATAATGGTCGCAATCGATTCCTCGGGTCAATATCTAACCTCAGTCGAAGGTTCCAGACTGTGGCTCCTATCCCATCATCCCTTAATCGTCCCTTAAAGGACGGGGCGCGTCAAAAGTGCCAAGGCTTCGTCTGATCGCCAAAATAATGGTCGCAATCGATTCCTCGGGTCAATATCAACCTCAGTCGAAGGTTCCAGATGTGGCTTCCTATCCCTCATCCCTTAATCGTCCCTTAAAGGACGGGGCGCGTCAAAAGTGCCCCAAGGCTTCTTCTGATCGCCAAAATAATGGTCGCAATCGGTTCCTCGGGTCAATATCTAACCTCAGTCGAAGGTTCCAGACCTGTGGCTCCTATCCCTCATCCCTTAATCGTCCCTTAAAGGACGGGGCGCGTCAAAAGTGCCCCAAGGCTTCTTCTGATCACCAAAATAATGGTCGCAATCGATTCCTCGGGTCAATATCTAACCTCAGTCGAAGGTTCCAGACCTGTGGCTCCTATCCCTCATCCCTTAATCGTCCCTTACAGGACGGGGCGCGTCAAAAGTGCCCCAAGGTTTCGTCTGATCGCCAAAATAATGGTCGCAATCGATTCCTCGGGTCAATATCTAACCTCAGTCGAAGGTTCCACACCTGTGGCTCCTATCCCTCATCCCTTAATCGTCCCTTAAAGGACGGGGCGCGTCAAAAGTGCCCCAAGGCTTCTTCTGATCGCCAAAATAATGGTCGCAATCGGTTCCTCGGGTCAATATCTAACCTCAGTCGAAGGTTCCAGACCTGTGGCTCCTATCCCTCATCCCTTAATCGTCCCTTAAAGGACGGGGCGCGTCAAAAGTGCCCCAAGGCTTCTTCTGATCGCCAAAATAATGGTCGCAATCGATTCCTCCGGTCAATATCTAACCTCAGTCGAAGGTTCCAGACCTGTGGCTCCTATCCCTCATCCCTTAATCGTCCCTTACAGGACGGGGCGCGTCAAAAGTGCCCCAAGGTTTCGTCTGATCGCCAAATAATGGTCGCAATCGATTCCTCGGGTCAATATCTAACCTCAGTCGAAGGTTCCAGACCTGTGGTTCCTATCCCTCATCCCTTAATCGTCCCTTAAAGGACGGGGCGCGTCA